TCACTTCTATAAGTTTTTATTCATAGTTAGTCGCGTAGGTATTAAAGCAAACATGGCAAACTATCGTACATCAGTTTCTGTTAGTATCTGTTAAAAAAGTCTTATATGGAAAATATTTGACGTTGGTTCACCCAATCATGGAGCAACCCCTACATAAAATTAATGATGATATATTGAGTAATGCTTTAGAAATAATATGGATAAAGGATTGGTGGATTTCAGAAGATCACACACACACGGGGCGATGTGGCAGTGCAAGACGTAACCCCTGTTAATTACACGTGTTGTTATGATTCTATTATTTGCATAAAATGACAATGGTTTACAGCTAGAATTGCAGTTCTGCATGTTTAGAATTCTAATGAATGAATGGTAATTCATGACTAATTTTACCTGTAAATAAAACTCAAGCAGATGATTGTAGTCAATACGTTCTGTGTGACATTAAGAGATAAAAAATCCCGAATTTACATTTTATTGCAAGTAAGATATAACTTTTAGCACAATGCATATCAGATTTGTAGATTGGAAACTAGGCGCTGATCACAGTACATTTTCAAAGTACCTATATGAAGAATAATATACGTCACCGGAAACAAGAGAAAATGTTTCAAAGTTAAAAGTTGTGTTTTTAATAAGGGAAGACGATTTTAACATACAAACTAAAACTAACAACATTAACTTTGAACCTTCGAACACCTGGATATGTAGACGAAAGGTTCTAAATAGATATTTGACATTACAGAAACTGTGTATTACAAAGGTATCGTTTTTAGGGACTGCCAATCTATACAAGAATTTGACAACATCAAGCTCTATAATATCTTACTTGATAAAATAGGATTTCCTTCTATTAGTTTCCGGTCCTGATTATTCATTTAACAAAAAGAATAGGTGTGGCAGCAGTACTAATTATTTGAACATTGGTTCTGATGATCAGATTCATCATCTAATCCCCAACCAATTGCCAAATGGTGCTATATCAAAATTTGACTATCTCATAAGAAAAAGGAAGTTGAGAGTATACTTCACCGAAACCTGCTTCCAAATAACCTTAAGTACCACTCAGAGATTTGATTGGAGACTAAATTTGCAATTGTATTATCGTCCAACCGAATGTGACGCTACATATGATAACGTTTGAGGCTGATAGCGTAATACTATCGAAATACACAGAAATATGATCAGATTTGATGTCTTTTTTAAATTTCCCGACCAAACATGATTGTCTGGTTTGGTTTAGAACTAGTGTTGGCTTTCATCTTGAAACCTAACGTACTAAAAAAATATTGGATAATCATTATATCGTCACACTGGGCATGCCGTTTTGGTTGAAGATTGGCAGTATCATTTATCGTCAAACTCGGCATGATGTTTTTTGTTGTTTCATCGGAAGACTCGTTGCAGAGCCTACGTTTACTACCATACTTGTTGACGTAAACGAAACCTCACCATATCACTAAATTTGTCATTAAAAAAAAAACACAGCTATCAATTAACTGAATCTGACGATCATATTAGATAACACTGCTGGTAAATAACCAAATCAGACGAACACACTATGTCAGACAATGAAATAACACTGCTGGTAAATATCCAAATCAGACGAGCACACTATGTCAGACAATGAAATAACACTGCTGGTAAATAACCAAATCAGACGAACATACTATGTCAGACAATGAAATAACACTGCTGGTAAATAACCAAATCAGACGAACATACTATGTCAGACAATGAAATAACACTGCTGGTAAATAACCAAATCAGACGAACATACTATGTCAGACAATGAAATAACACTGCTGGTAAATAACCAAATCAGACGAACATACTATGTCAGACAATGAAATAATACTGCTAGTAAATAACAAATCTGATGATCACATTATGTCAGACAATGAAATAATACTGCTAGTAAATAACCAAATCTGATGATCACATTATGTCAGACAATTAAATAACACTGCTGGTAAGTATCCAAATCAGACGAGCACACTATGTCACACAATGAAATAACACTGCTAGTAAATAACAAAATCTGACGATCACACTTTGTTGGACAATGAAATAACACTGCTAATAAATAACAAAATCTGACATCAGAGACTGGTTGTCGACCATCAACGGTACCCACACAGTAGTAGTTTATAAACGTTCGACATGTATTACATGTGCACACTATGTGTTTCTGTCAGAACCTTTCTGGCAAGATTTAGACTAAACGTATTGAAAAGCATAGATATCAAATGTGTTAAAGTAAAAACATAGAGACAATCTCATTGGATCTGAAAATTTAAAGACACTACTAGTCCTAAACCAAATCTGACCGTTATATGAAATACGTCCATAACATTTGTTTTGACACTAAGTTCCAAATAAAATCAGACCATGTCATTAGGTATAGTGATAATTTGACATTGGTAACCAAATCTAATCATCGCATTGGTCAGACGATCAAAATTGTCTAAAATCTAGACAATGCTAGTCTGTGACTAAATTTGACCATAAGAACCAACGAAAATCCACTATAGACTTCATTATGTGGTAACTTCTTATGGCATGGAAAATTATGTATTCAATAGTAATACGGCTAATTTTATCTAAGCATAGTACCCAAACATTGGGAGTTTCAATAAATCAATTTTATATCTTTTATTTTTAACTTGAGTACAAAAGTTATTTGTCACCTTTCTCTGTGGAAATACAGGTACATAACCCTGGTGACCCACGTGACAGACCCGTCGCTTTAACAACATTTTATGAATTTCTAATCTACCAGGCTAACAAATTAGTCGAGCTGTTTTCGTTTTTTCTTACTGATAAATGGTAGATTTCTAGACATCAAAGAAGAGTATGACGATGTAGTAAGATTTAGGTGAAAACTAGAGGAAAGGTTTGAATATTTAGGATGATATGATTACAGTGTTGTAAGATATAGCGCATTTAGAAAGTCTAGTGTATACAACAAGATATGCTTAAATCTGGCTGTTTGTCTTGTTGAACGTTTAAATGCATTAGTCACTATAAGGAAGATTATCTTTTCGTGGTTTCCATTAAATTTGTCTTCTTACACAAAATCTCAGCCTTTGTAAGTCACGAAAGAATTTTATATATAGTAACTTTTAAGCATTTAAGAACTTTGGATTTCTGATCTGAAATGTGTTTGCCAAAATAAATATTTTTTTTTTAAATAAAGATCAAAGGCCATGCAACACTAAAAAATCACCTAATGATTAATCGTTTAATATTTTCTATATATAAAACATTTAATTCTATGTTTTTTCAACACTTTTATGCTTTTACTTATAAGGTTATTAGATATATAGTCATCCATGTACATGTACCTGCATAATATTTTTTCCAGTTTTTCTTATGGTGTAGATCAGTATGTCAAGAAAGGTGGGTTTTTTTTGCATCTTGCAATCCTTACATTCTTAAATTTTATATTGCCGATTCTGTAAATTAAAAAAAAAAACGGCAAAGATGTAACAGATTAAACTTATTTTCGATTGATGACGCTGTATTTTGTTTAAACTTAATAGTATCAAGGACATATGAAATATTTATCAATTTATCATATTTTAGGTTTGCTCCGTTAGAGTAAAATTCAAAACAGTTTTACTATTGTCTATTGGTCTTTAAACCGGTAAAGTCTGGAATAGTTTTTTCGGTCTGCATCGTCTCATCAAATATGGAATATTTCACCTTGACCTTTGCAAAGTCAGACGGAATATTTTCATTACTCACTACATAATGAAATGTAAAGATTTTTATAGAAGTGCAGCAAAATATGGACTAGTTTGTTTGGCCTCAGCGAAGAAAAATTATATCCTACCTTTATTTGGCCTTAACAGATGTAAAATATGATGCTTGTCGGACTTTTATTAAACGTCTAATATTTTGGCTATACAGGTCTAAATATATGCATTTACAAATTATTTATTTGTTAAGTGATCGCTGTGGAATCGTAACATATTTTGTAGAAAATTGACAATTTAGATTTGAATGATTCATTAAAATGATTGAGTTATATAACTTAGCAATCTATCTGTCTGAAATCTATAAAGTGATGTAAAACATCTGAAGCAGAAGACGTCAATATTTGATCGGAACTCTTTAGAATTATTCTCAATATCCTCTCATCTTAATTTAGTACATGAAAGGTGTATATAATTGAGGTCCTGACCTCTACGAAACGGCAATATATGATAACCAGTAAAAGTAAATTTTAAGGAGTATGCGTATTTAACCGAGTATGAACTATAAGAAAACTCAAACGAACGCCCACATGAAAAACTAACAAATAAATCGTTCTTATTATAGAAATTCGTCTTGAAATTACCAAGATGGAATCCGTTTGGGGCCTTTTCAGACGAAACCTTACTTTCTTTACTTAAAATAAAAGTCAAGTGCCTTCAATACAAAACACTCATTCTGGCTATACCTTGAACTCGACGATATGTTTGTTATGGACCTATAAATTGACAATAAATATATTTAAACCAAACAGTTAAAACACAGATAGATAGTTTTTAGTCACGGCATTGCCTCCCCGAAAGAAGTTTAAGGACCCAAATCTCTGGAGATATTAATCCATTGAAGCTCTATGTATCTGTAGAAATCGTATGATCTATTTGAACCTTAGTAACCCGCATCAGATGAGTACCGAAACCCGAGGACTGATACTAGTTAAGATTTACACTTTTTCAGATATGGTACATGATTGCTCAACATTATCCACATGTGCTTGAGTGCATGAATTCCCTTTTACTTTTTTTTTTAGTTAACATTCTTAGTTGAATAATCTTTTCACCTATTTAAGTCGATCTATCTCTTATTCATAAGATACTACAGTGAGTTGTTCATAGAATATATTATGCTGTCCCTCTATACTTTATAATTTAACCTCAATTTCACCACAGACATATATACACATATATATGTCTCTGATTTCACAAATATAATTTGTATGATAAAACACGAAATAACATACGTACCTTTTGTCATTATGGGACCAAACACACTGTAATTCTGGCTTGTTGTACAGTTCCAGCGTTCAAATCTAAACTGGTTCTGGCATTCATGAATAGCTTGCCTTGCTCCTTCACTTACACATAGGAGAGATTCAGGATTTCTTTGACATAAATCTAATTGTTCTAAAACAAGCCCAGGAACTGTGTTACATTTTTCAGTTTGTGTATCTACTGCTACTGATGACATTCCAAGATACCTGTAAAATGTAGAAATAATCACCAATTTCTTTAGACATTAATTGCCGGTTAGAATAGGGGAATTAACCACGACGACACATCCTTGGAGAGTACCACATATGAACCTTTGAAATATATCTTTGATGGGTCGGTGGTTGACCTATTGCAAGGCAGAATTACTGTCCTGCCCCTCCCTAAATTATTTTCTTTTCACAAATGCCTTTATGGCACATCTCAACCAACAAAAGTCTAGCAATCAGAATAAAGTAAACAGATGCGGATCCAGGGTTAGAGGAAAGGGGCCTATTAAAAAAAAATTTTTTTCTACCGTTTGATACCAAAAGAATGATAACCATATATTTTCCCATAAAAAAAATACTAAAAATATGCAAATGAAGACTGTCAAACATCGTTCTAATCGAATTTTGAAATCTACGACTGTAGATGAGCAAAGCCAAAATTCAGCGGTCTTTTGTTATTATTATCAAATCTTTTTCTGAATAAAGAATAGTCGAATTTTTCAGATCTTGTCGACATTAATTTCTTATTTAAACAAATATATTCACCTACAGTTAGAATTGACTTAAGAAAAAAAAAAGGAGGATGCCAATAAAAAAGGAAGATGTCAATTGAAAAAAATATGTCGTACAAAACGAAAAGCGACGCGTAGACAAAACACAGAAAACAAAAGATTGAGTGAGCAAAACGACTCCGCCAAAATCCGGAATAGTTTTATGTTTACTTAGATTTTTTTTCCAGGTAGCATCATCCTGTGTATTGTTTTCTCCAAAAGTCCATTGTTCTTAAAGTATAGTGGCGAGAAAATGCTGAGAAATTTGTTCCCCACTTTACAACCGGTCGAAATTTTTTTCGAAAAGTTTTGGATATAAACCCTTGCATATTGATTTATTATCTATATTTTGTGTCATAAAAAGTTATCGTAACTTTTAAATTGTAAGAGGTTAGCGGCGCATAAAATAAACCAACCCTTCCCCCCTACAAATACAGATTTTAGAAAATCTGGTCTGTTTTGACGTTATTTCACTACTTTAAGGGTACAATAGGATTATGTTAATATGTCAGTAATAAAGCAGATCTACCGTAACTACCATGGTAGTCCCAACACACAGAAAATGTATACATACTTAATAGAGTCGTGGAATTCTTACAATTAAATAATAAATCACACAATTTAGCAATAAGTCACAAAAGAAAGACATCTTAAGTGGATTCATCTTATACTTTGTCATCTGCGTATAATTTAAAGTATTTTAACTGTTTGGTTGACTAAAGTAATAACTGAGAATTTGAGGAGATAATTTTCACTGGGGTAAAGCAACATGTAAGGACTAATGAGGGGTTGTCAGAATTCGGTACTAAATAGATATATCATTTGTACATAATAATGTGTCAACACGTATAGAGTGGATGCTTTACACAATATGTCAACATATATAGAACTTTGGAGACAAATAAATGACAATTATTGGATAACACATTTTTAAACATTTTATGAGGTTTTGCGGTCTTCTGTTAACTATCTTTTTATGGTTAGAAATTTTATTGATCATTATGTTTGTAATCTTTGAAGAATCAAAACTGTAACGCTGAAACTGAGATAATTTATATTAAATTAACAGCCACAACATATGATCATGCATATGTAAAAATAAGGAGATGTAGTATTATTATATATAATGAGAAAACTGTTGACCAGAGAGACCAAAAAACGAGGATGTACAGACAAATATATAAGGTTGCCCATATCACGTAAAAATTATATTCATATTCACTATAAAAACCGATAACAATACTACTATTTGTGTACCTAAAGTGTCAGTTAGGTATCATAAAATTGTAAGTGATAAACCAGAGAGATGTTATACATCATGTCTATAGAAAATAAGTGAGTTATGGACTCCAAAGGCGCCATCATAGATGCCAACAGGCAGACGAGTAATTATGACATAAATAAACAAAAGAAAATTAAATAAATGAATGAATGAATAAATAAATAAACAACAAATTAGACATGAATTAAATTGAATATATAACAGGGGAGTGAATATACTTATGTAATACATATGTACGTTACATGATGGTAGTGAGTCTTCGAAAGAAAATTAAATAAATGAATGAATAAATAAATAAACTACAAATTAGACATGTATCAAATTAAATATATAACAGGGGAGTGAAAATAGGACTTATGTAATACATATGTACGTTACATGACTGTATTGAGTCTTTAAAAGAAAGTTAAAAAGCAAACTGAAACATAAAAGTTTCTTTGCCATAAGCAGACTGACTGAGAACACGTTTGATATAAGACTAATGTGTAAGATAGAACATTTCTGATTGTTTAAACACATGTGGTATTATAAATGTATTAGAAGAGATCGGGAAGCCTCCTAATGTCTTTATATAATCAAGGTGTAACACGATTCATAACTTATGTTATAATTTAAGTATTTATAACGATTTTAAATCAATATCAAAAGTACTGTTTTTATCGAAAATATTTATGATTCTATTTCCGTAGTAGTTCATGCATAAATGTTTAAGAAATAATTAGGAAAGAAATAATTAATGTTTAATTTACGGTTCCTGTTTACGTAATACGTCGTTTGCTTTAAATATCTGTAACTTTGAAATCGTTATTTTGGAACTAATAAACCAAAACTACAAAAATCATTTGGTGAATCATTCGGTTTCAAAATAAAAAATATTAACAGAAAAAAGAGAATGCTTAACTGGTGTTTTCTACAAATTCCAAAGATATCATGTCAAAAACTCTTCTTTGGATTTCAAAATTATCAATAGTTGGTAAATTTGAATATTTAATACGTTTTATGCTAATCTGATTCCATAAAATTCTTTATTTATTACGTTCTCGCACCTCTTTTATTACACATATATCAAAGCTATCGACTGATTAATTACTCACAGTTCATTTGCCGTGTAACTCAAATCAGATTTAAAACAGTAAATCACAAAAAACTCACAATACTGATGATAAATTCTCCATTTATTATACTTTTCTAGTGGCTCATAAAGGCTGGATAAACTTCCATGCGTAATATAATGCAAGAGAAGATATACACATTTTTGTAGCGGAATCTTTACAATTCGACACGGGATCGAAACTAACTTCATTAGAAAGCAGATATTTGTATTTCGAACATAAGATAACAATATGTTAAAATATTCCTATGAAGAACAAATATCCAAGTGAACAAGACGATTCGAATTCAAATGTCTTAACAGTATCACCCACATACATCATGATTATTTTATAAGTAAAACATATAGTACAAGTTTGCTCCATTTCAAACTTATAAAAATGTGTAGATATTACCCTTAAGAGGAATACAGACATAAAAAGGTTTTTATTTTTACTTAGAACGAGTATGCACAGTGTTTATATGTGAAATATTTACTTTTCTTTTGAATAAACAAAGAGAGAGACAGAGCGAGAGAGAGATAGAGGGAAGGGGTTGTAAAACAAGTTTTAAACATGTCACTGTTCGCATTAATATTTCAGATCTGATAATGGAAATTGATTTCTTTGATTCTATTGTCATTGAAGAAATTGATACAAATTTGTTGCTGTTTTATGAACAGGTAAAACAATAAAGGGGACATTAATATTTACCTAACATACAGGTAACAAACAAATTATCGTACCGGTTACACCTTTGATGTTTGTAAGGGCAATAATGTTTTGTAATAGCACACCTGTCGTGACAAATGTTAAATATTTGAAAATATTCTTCTTTTTTTTTAGAATTTACATTCATCACAATTTATCATATATCCCCATTAGTTTTAACAAAAGTGATATAAGGAATATAAATTTTATTTATTTGCACGTAATGATGTGGAATAACAAAGGAGTACTTGAATTTATTGTAGATAACTGCAAAAATATGTGAATTTCTTGAAAAGTAAAACCATTTCATACAGATGTTCAAGTATACTAAAAATTACATTATTAATTTTAATGATGTAAGCTTTATAGTCTAATACAGCAAAAAAAAATATCTTCAATTTTAAAAAGCTGTTAAAGTTACACGAAATATAACCTTCAATTAAAAATACCCAGATGCATCAACGAATTTTAATATATATACATACTTTGTTTGTCTCTTGTATAAATATCTGAACAGAGTACACAAATTTAAATCTTACCAAATATCTTTTCGTCGATATAGTTCACCAAATTTCAAAGTATAAGATACAGACGAAGATAGTGAAGAAAAACTGATAAATTGGCATCAAAGTTACGTAACCAAATTTATCACAAATAAAATTTTACTCTTGACATAAGAATAAAAATGTCGCATCATAAAAAATGATTAATAGCTAGTTAGGTTTTTTTTTGAACTTATAAAATTATACTCACATCCAATTCCCGTTTGTAACAGATGAGGCAAAAATCCAGAGAAGAAAAAAGAGTTTAATCCAAGTTTTATCACTACACAAAATATTAAAATCCATTTTTTAAGTGTTGAAAAAGTTTTGCGCTGGAGAAAAATCCAGGTGAGTCAAATTTAAATTCATTTGGATGAGGATCTAAGTGACAACTGATGAACTTTACAACAAACGCGTTGTAAAGTGTTATATTATTCATTTGCTTTTTATCGCTTTATTGACAAGTTCATTGGATAGTCTTCTAGGTATTTCAGTGAATGAACCTGGTAAATAAAAGAATTTGATTGGTCAGATTACAGTACCTCGTGACACCAAAGACATACATTTATATATATTTTAAATATATTTCGTGAGTTATGAATGAATAATTGTAAATTAGTTGTTTCTCCAACTTTACAGTACTTGAAAGAGTTTTTAGTATCAATATAAAAATACCGATTGTGTTAACAAATACTATAATGTAACAAATAAACAAAATATTCAAATAAAAATCAAGAATGGGGGTTAAGTAAATACTGAATAAAGGGAATAATGTGAATTAATGATCTGTGACACATATTTTGAAATAATATGTTTGAAATTATGAGAAAACAAAGTTATTGCTATTCTTGTGGATAAACATGAAATGAAATGACAACAAATAAAACTAAAGTGTCACATGTCAAAAATTACATATTGATGATAGATGTACATATTTGTAAACATTTATCATTACATATTTTATCGTTTTTTCTTTCTTGGTTTTTAAATATTTTGTTTTATTTTACTTCTAAATTTTATAATTAGTTCAAAGTCAGTGAGTTTCAAAACACTAGTTGTTCAGTTTAAACTCTCCACAAGTTTCGAGGATAAATGCCAGTTTCAGCAATCATGTCTTTCAATGAACCAAGATTAACGATGAAATTTAGAAGAAAAGAAAACGCAAAAATAAACAAAATTATCCTACAATAATAGCTTTAGCAGAATTTCGTCATGCTTATATAAAAATGCTGTGCTAACTACGTGAACTGTTCACACACAGACTGGACTGGTTAAATAAACAGCACATTTCTATCAATGTGATTTCTATATAGACAATTTTGGAATCACTATCCAAATTGTTCTTGAAATCATAGAAACTAGAAGATGCCCGCGAAATCGCGGTACAATTGGGCAAGTGTTGAAACAAAGAGCACCCGACATGAAATTTTAAAGTACATTTTTGTATATTACATACAGTAACTAATTATTATTACAGTGAAACCTGTCTAAACTGAACAAAATCTTCAGTCCCAAAGGTGTTCGGTTTAGGCAGGTTTCACTGTATATAATATTTATTATACTGTAGTTAGCTTGTATGCTTGAGCATCCACATGTTTCCAGTAGAAAGATACCAAAAATTAAATTTACCACCCCACTTTTTTCTCAGTTGTAATGGAAAGTATCCACATTATCTTACCCCTAGCTACGCCACTGATACTCCAGACTGTCGGCTCAGAGGTAAAATGTCTATAAAATTCAGTCCGCAAGTTTATATAGGGGAGGCAATTTAGGTAACAACATTTCAGCCTGCGATCGTCTGCACAGAGGCATATTTCAGCACATAGCACACAAATGTATATGAGGGAAGTAATTTTAGGTCATGACATTTCAGCCATCGAGTGTCTGATCTGAGGTATACGTGTATTTCAGTCCGCAATTTATATAGGAGGGGGTAATTTATGGTCACAATATTTCTCCCCGTGTTTGAGGAGGGTGCACCACTAATTTTCTATGGTTTCAGTATGAGTGCTTCAGTCCCAAATTTGTGTGGGGGACGTAATACGACTTCAGTCCCAATTTTATGTGGGGTACGTATTAATAGGTATCGACATTTCAGCCTGTGTTTGAGGAGGGTGCACCACTAATTTACAACAGATTCAGTCTCAAATTTATGTGGGGGTAAGGACATTTCAGCCTGCATTTTGATGACAAATATTTCAAGTTGAATTTATGACATGTATAATATGATTGTGGTGTTTGCCATGGGCATTGTGCATGTGACAAATTGAAAGCGTTGGCAAAGGCTGCCATGCCATGGGCATTGTGCATGTGACAAATTGTAAGCATTGTCCAAGGCTGCCATGCCATGGGCATTGTGCATGTGACAAATTGTGAGCGTTGGCCAAGGCTGCCATGATCGAGATCACTTCGACACGTTCAACACCCATTCCTTTTTTGGACAGTGGTTTAAATATGCAGTGAGTGAAAAGGGGTGGAGTGCATGCAGATGTGACAAAATGTGTAAGCGTTGGCTCAGGCTACAGGCACCCGACGTCAGGACCTTCCCCATTTTTATGTGTAAATCGGCCCCTAGGCCTAAAAAAAATTCTGTGTTTCCGGTAACATCATTTTGAAAAATATGGTCGTTCGGGAAATTATTTTTTTTTATTTTTATTTTTTTGTGACATCGTAAACGAAATATCATGGTTTTTCCAAGTCTGAATCCGTATTTAGTTTCAAATACCGGAAGTGCGTATAAGACGGTCTCCGAATTTGGATATTTTCTCAAAAATTGGCGTTTTCTGTGGAAAAAAGATTGTTTCAAAGACAACTTTAGGAAGTACAAACCACTACATTTATACGTCATATCACAAATATTTCTGACTTTGTATGGTTTCAGAGAACATGCGGCTCAATGAAATCGGTCTCTTTCTTCAGTAGTATAGATGTGGCACTATACTTATTTTCTATTGACTTACAATGAACAGTACTGAAATTATCTGAATTGTATTTATTTCGATAATAGAAATCAGCATTGTAAAGAACACAGCTCTAGTAATTCCCCAGGCATGCATAAGCCGTATTTAGCACAACTTTTCGGAATTTTCGGCTTTTGATGCTCTTCGTATTTAATTTTGCAACTGCTTCTTTGATGAGTTTTTACAACCCCTGAATCAATGTCACTGCCGGTGGACGTTTCGTCCTCGGAAGAGGGCCTCACAAGCCCAGTAATCAGCACTTTTGTGTTGGCATGAAATATCATTGATGTTTCTTCATTATCTGTACATTTACTGTTATTAAAATGTTGAATTATTTGAGTATAATACGTAAATACTTTCCAAAACCTGCAGATATGACCAACAAAAAAAAATGGATAATCCAGTTTAAACAATTATGACAATACAATAATTTTCTTTAATGTCTTTAATATCTACAGTTTTGGTTATATTACCAACCATTATGAATTATCTTGTGACTGGAGATATAACAACACAAGACAATACTGTGACCTGTAATTTACCGGTTATCCTCCGCTATGTACACTTATCGGGTGATCAAAGAATCCTCTAGTATCTGAAATTATGGCAATGTTAAAAGCTGGGCGCAAACGTTAATTTTTTTAATCCCCAAATGCGTAATGCGCCCATACACGAATAATTGAGAATTCATAAACAGTTGCAATTTTGGCAACGCAAGTGTATTCTATATTCAAAATTATGAACATACAAAGATACCTCTAGTATCTGCAATGTTGTTCAATACAAGATGTATCAAATATCTATCATTATTTCGTGAAAAAAAACAGAAATAAAATAATTAACAGCTGCGCTATGAGTGCATAATAAGTCGGCCGTTTAAAGCAATCTTTATAAAAGTATGGTAACGCATTTGAAAAATATTGATCAAATAAGTAAGACGTTCAAAGCATACTTCAGTTATTGGGAGACATGTGTGTCCCTATTTTTTGACGATTAAAGACGCGCATTTCTGCAACAAAAGTAGTGAAATCCCATAACATATATCGATCCTTCTTTTTCCATCATTCGCGATGAATTCTAAAGATTGAAGTTGATCTTTCCAGGCATATTCCAGTTAGAGCACTATGTGAACAAATACCTAATTTAAGTCCAGTTACTCTATAAAACAAACTCGTCAAAGGTATACTCACCCTTTTCTTATTTCTTAAGCGTTGGCCAAGGCTGCCATGATCGAGATCACTTCGACACGTTCAACACCCATTCCTTTTTTGGACAGTTGTTTAAATATGCAGTGAGTGAAAAGGGGTGGAGTGCATGCAGATGTGACAAAATTTGTAAGCGTTGGCTCAGGCTACAGGCACCCGACGTCAGGACCCTCCCCATTTTTATGTGTAAACCGGCCCCTAGGCCTAAAAAAAATTCTGTGTTTCCGGTAACATCATTTTGAAAAATATGGTCGTTCGGGAAATTATTTCTTTTTATTTTTATTTTTTTGTGACATCGTAAACGAAATCCAGAAAATTCGCGATGAATTCTAAAGATTCAGTGAAGTTTATCTTTTCAGGCATATTCCAGATAGAGCACTATGTGAACAAATACCTTAATTTAAGTCCAGTTACGCTATAAAACAAACTCGTCAAAGGTATACTCACCCTTTTCTTATTTCTTTCGGTGAAGTTTGAAGTACATCGCTCAATACATATTTGAGTCAGTGCTCGAAATGTAAAAAATTGCATATTTTTCAAAGATCAAAACGTTAAAAGTGAAAATCGTTAAAACGTATACAGGTCCCTAGGCCACCAATTAAAATAATGTCATAAAACTTTGTTTGATGTTAACCGTTTAATGCATACTTGCGTTACCGAACAACGCACGAACAGACGAAAAAACGGAGGGACAACGGAATACCATAATACGGCCGTCGTTATCGGCCGTATGAAAATTCTTTGGTTCCCAGTATTATGATAATACACGAATCGCATGAAACCTGCAATTATTTTAAAGTAAAACAAAAAAATAAATTTGTGATAATACTAGATTCCTTCGGCATAAATCATCTGTAATCTATAATGAGGGAAATGCAATAATACTTCAGTTTATACAATTATGACAACACAAAGAATCCCACAATATCTTCAATAATTGCAATTATAACATAGCAATGCAAAAATCCCAAGTATCTACTCTATTTTCTATAATCATAGCAAAATCGAACATTCTAGTATTCTTAAATAAATGATAACAATAAAAAAATCCGCAAATATGGCAATATCAGAATCCTCCAGTTTCTACAATCATGACCAGTACATGGCTAACCTATAGTGCCGCGAGTCAAAAAGCCAACTATAAGAGGAATACAAAACCCACAGTCAATACAAAGTGTCGGACAATACAAAAACATCCCCAAATTTCTACAATTATTGCATAGTTCCTCAATATCCAAAATCATGACAACAGATGCGGATCCAGAATTTGAGGTAAAAAAAGATCCCAAATACC